ATTTATTTAATTTTGTGTGGCCAGCTCAGCCCACCAGGGGGCGGGGCTGGCTGGCATGTGGTGCTGGGGGATTGAACTGCGGTCCCTGTGCTTTGCTTAGCTTAGCTTGTTCTAAGTAGGTGCTTTAGACCACTGAGCCATCTCACCAGCCCCCAGGAAATGTATTCTTAATAAATATCATGCAAGTAAAATGAAAGGTTCGAAATGTTCAAGGACCAGGGAGATGGCTCCACAGAATAAGAGCTTGCCTGGCAAGTGCAAGGGCCTAAGTTCACTCCCCGGTTCTGGAAAAAAAAAAAGGTAATGTTTCAGATTAAAGGGGGTTAAAAAGGCATGACAGGTGACCCAGACTAGATCCTATACTGGAGGGGTAAATGTTAGGAAGGGGATTACTGGACAAGCTGACAAGACGAAGTATAAATAACAGATCAGCAATCTGACTAGAAAAAAAAATAACATATCAGGATAGTAGGTAATAAATAAATATATGTAGAGTAACAAATATTTTATCAATGTTAAGCTTATAGAGGCATAGAACTAGGAGATATAGTAGAGTACTTGCCTAGCATGCATGAGACCCTGGTTCCATCAAAGTACTATGGAAAAAAGTATCAAAATTGGCAAGTGTACTATTACTGTAGGAAAGACTATCCCTATTTTTAGCCAATACACACTGGAGTCTCACAGGTAAAGGGCTGTGATTATGTACCCTACTGTCAAGTTCATGGCTCAGGAATACAATTATGTGAACATGTGGAAAAAGTATGTAAGAATATAAGTGTATATACACACTTATACACACGTGCACAGAGACAGGGAGGGAAGGGGAGAGAGGGGAAAGTATGTGTGTGAAAGGAGCAGAGAGAAAAGTGGAGAGGGGCAGTGAGCACAGAGGCAGAGCTGCGCTCTTCAGTCACACAGCCTCTAGTCACAAGGAGCTATAGGCACTTACAACCTTAATCTGACTTCATATGTGTTGCAAGTATAGATTACACATTAGATTTTAATTTTTAAATATGAAAAAGTATAAAATAGCTCAGTAACTTTTTTGCAACTTCTGGAAATTTGAAATTATTTCCAAATGTAAGTTTTTTAAAAAAGTCCTTCTATGTCAATGATAGTTTTAAATTGAGATTAAAGACAGAATTTTGAAGATAGATTCATATACAGATTGAAGTTTAAAACAGGAAGGAGGGCTGGCCAGATAGCTCAGCAGACAAAAGTGCCTACTTAGGCAGAGTGCAGTGGCCAGGGTTCGATTCCTCAAGGCACGCTGAGATGACAATTGAGACTGGGCATGGTGGCATGAGCCTGTAATCCCAGTGCTTGGGAGGCTGAAAACAGGAGAATCACTATGAGTCTGATCTATGTAGTGAGACCCTGTAGACCCTGTCCTAAATACACACATATGGCACACATCCATATTCTCCGCACTTGGGAGGCTGAGGTAAGAGGATAGCTGAGTTCAAGGCTAGCCCTAGCTACATAGTGAATTAAAGCCAGCTTCAACTACATAGCAAAACCTTGTCTCAAAAGCAAAAATAAAAGCCCTCAACCCACACAAAGCAACAAAACAAAACAAAACAATAGGGAAGACAGTAGAACAAAAGAGATAAATCTAAGTATGACAAATTAGAGGTGTCACTTATCATGAGGTGTGTGTGTCCTGAAATAACCGAACCAATATCTTTATTCCACATTAGCAATGCATTTAGGCTGAAACAGTGAGAGGACAGAGGTCAAATCTGTGTCCCAACTCACCCCTCTGGAAAGAAGGCATTGATGATCCGGTCCCCCAGTGGGTTGATTGCAAGCTCTGGAATCCTTTGGAAATCTTCCCGGCTGCCAAGACAACCACCTTTGGTTACAGACGGTTGGCCCTTAGCATGAATTCTTTTAGCTTGAAACAAGGTACAACCTAGCAAAAATATCATTTCCTGGAATTTACTTCTGTGGCAGTTATACCAAATAACTGCAAAGAATAGCACTTCAATAGCTGCCAAGAGTTTCTTGTACCAACTTGAGTGGAAGAAGCCAAATTTGACTATGCCGCATTCCAGTGAATTCAGCACACAGGTTACATCAACAAGCCAACCTATACACAAACACTAAGCTGTTCCTTAGTAAATGATTCCTTGAACATTACCATTTTGTACTTGGTTATTAAGTTTGGAAAGTGAATGGCCAATGAAAGATACCAAACACCACAGAACTTAAATGCAGGCTCCTTAAACACTTCAAGGAGCCTCTACATCTTTGTAAAGATTTCCAAGCTGGGCATGGTGGTATGCGTCTGTAATTTCTTGGGAGGGTGAGGCAGGAGCATCAAAAGTTTGAGCACAGCTTGGACAATTTAGTAACCTATCCAGACCATCTCAAAACAAAAACTAAAAAGGCCTTGTACATATAGCAGCACATGTCTTTAATATCTGCACTTGGGAAGCTGAGGCAGGAGGACTGCCGTGAGTTTGAGGCCAGCCTGGGCTACAGTGTAAGTTCAGGGCCAGCCTGAACTACATAGCAAAATCTGGTCTCACAAACAAAACAACCAAAAAGAAAAAAAAAAAAAAAAAAAAAAGTTTAGAATGCAGCTTGGTATAAAGGCTCTATGTGTGTGTGTGTGTGGGGGGGGGTCCCCAAACACCTATAAAAGGTAAGGAGTTCTTGGGTGATTTTTTTCTTTTTGTACTTTAGTACAGGGTCTATAGGGTCTTGCTACACATATTGGACTTGTAGTGATCCTCCTGTTTTCAGCCTCCCAAGCGCTGGGATTGTAGGTATGCCACCATGTCCAGTCTCAGTCAACACCCACCCCTAGTATGCTCTGGGGCTGGCACAGGCTAGTCAGCTGAGCTATCTGGCTGGCCTTCTTGGGTGGTATTTGATCTAAGGGATCAGTATTACAACCAAATGACTTATTTCCAGGTTTGCTCCATTCCCTTCTATAGACTATAGCTGCTTAATTCTCAGTGGAGACAGGAACAAGCACCCTTCTGTAACAAGGGGATTGTGTCATACCCTGTACAGCTTTATTTGTTCATATACATTACTTCCTTTCTTCATGCCAGTGCTTTTTCCTACATCCTCTTAGAGCCAAAGAAATTGAGTCAGTGAGATGAAGTAACTTGTCCTTGCCACAACTACTATGTGGCAGAAATGTGATCCAAGCATTTAAGGTTGGACATGTATTCTCTTTTGAAAAAATGTCTTGGGCTGGCGAGATAGCTCAGTGGACTAAAGTCCACTTAGGCAAGTTTAGGCAAGCACGGGGACCATGACTGGATCCCTTGTACCACATGCAGTGCCAGCCCCTCCTCCAGGGCACATTGAGCTGGCCAGAGTCCGGGCTCTGGCCTAGTGGTGCATGCCTGTAATCCCAGCGAGGGGAGGCTGAAAGCAAGAGGATCACCATGAGTCCGAGCTGCGTAGTGAGACCCTGCAACAACCAAATACATAAAAAATAATAATAATAATAAAATGTCTTTCCCATATTAAATTCTGTGAAAGGAATTCACTCTGTTTAGGGGGCTGGTGAGATGGCTCAGTGGTCTAAAGCACCTACTTAGAACAAGCTTAGCAAAGCACAGGGACCACGGTTCAATCCCCCAGCATCACAAGCCAGCCAGCCCCGCCACCTGGTGGGCTGAGCTGGCCACACACACACACACACACACACACACATACATAAAAAATTTAAAAAAAAAAACCCAACAAACCAAAGATGTTTAATAGGGCTGGGATTATATACTTTTCTAGCACGTTCAAGACTCTGGATTCAATCCTCAGCATCACAAGAGAGGAAAAAAAAATACAAAAAAACTGTTCAACAAGTTTTTGTTGTTTTGTCTACACATTGAGGGTTAAATCCAGGGCCTTGAGTATGCTAAGCAAGTACTCTGCCTGAGTTACAACCCCAGCTCTCTAGGCAAGTTTTGAAAAAATTATTTGGATGATGCTTGTACCAAGAATACAAAGCTGTCTAAAAGTATATCTGGGGCTATAGCTCAGTGGGAGTGCATGAAACCCTGGGTTCACTCCCCAACCAAACATGAAAAGAAAAAGTATAACACAGGTATATTTACATTTTTGTCTTGGTAGAGGACTGGGGATTGAACCCAGGACCTAATACATGCTAAGCAAGTGCCCTAGTACTGACCTAAACCCCAAGGTTTCTTTTATTTCAAGATGGGGGTGGGGTGTCTCATGAAGTATGGATGGCCACAGACCTACAAAGCTCTGTCTGAACCTTTGGTGTAGCTGCAATTACAGGTGTGTACCACTGCCACTAATTCATGGTATAGTCTTCAAAAATACTACTGTCACAACAGGTATGGTGCTATATATCTTTAATTGTATAACTGTAATAAATCAATAAAAGTGGGGGGAGGGATGTAGGTTGGGGGTAGAGTATTTGCCTGGGATGTGTGAAGTCCTGGGTTTATCTCCTATACAAAGAGAGTATTTCAGGTCAAAGGTAACTAATAACAGTTATCTGTATGATTTTTTTTTTTTTTTGGCAGTACCAGGGATCGAATTCAGGACGTTGTACTTTCCAGGCAAGCACTTATTCCACTGAGCTATCTCCCCAGCTTCCCAAATATTTCCTCATTTTTTTTTCTGTATGATCTTGGACAAGGAAAAAAATATGTCCATAAAGGACATCACTGTGCGATAGCTGAAAATGAACATGAACAATACTGAATATGGAATATTACGCTACATCCAAATCTTTTATTTTGATCTAAATGTCCTTGTTACAGGAAATACACTTTGAAGCATGTGACAAAATGTTAACAATTGGTCTGTATATCAGATATTTCTGCACAAATGAATAACAATGTTCTGTAAATTTGAAACTTCCAGATAAAAAAACAAGAACATAAACTGGAATAAATCTACTCTAAGACGTTTACTAACAGCACACAAAACATATCAAAAGAGAGATTTTAGATTTTATTTTATTATTTTTTTGTCCTCTTTTTTGAGACAGGTTCTCACTATGTAGTTCAGGTGGGCCTTGAGTTTACTTTGTAGCCCAGGTTGGCCTCAAACTCAAAGGATCCTCCTGGCTGGGGAGATAGCTCAGTAGAATAAGTGCTTGCCTGGTAAGCTCAAGGTCCTGAGTTCAATCCCCAGTACTGCAGGAAAAAAAAAAGGGGGGGGGGAGCCAGGGAGATGGCTCAGTAGAATAAGCACTTGCCTGGCAAGTGCAAGGGCCTGAGTTCAATTCCTGGTTGGGGTGGGGGGAAGGATTCTGTCTCAGCCTCCCAAGTGCTATGATCATAGGTGTGTATCACCCTACCTAGCTTACTTTAGATTTTAATCTTCTAGATCACTTAGAGTAATCATTTTGTAAGAATGGGTGAACTAAAAGATAACTGGATTGCTTATTATGATAAAAGATAGATATTACTGAGGTTCTAATTTATTTGCACAGACACGTATTAAGCTTTTATTTACATGATTTTTCTATAACACAAAATCCAAATTATCACCAAAATGTACCTCCTCTTCTTTCACAGAGGTTAAGAAATAATATTCTTAAATGACACTAAAGGCTAAAAGACAGTGATGGGAAGGGAGACCCCTAATAATATTAAGATGTGCAATGTCCACAATGAATGTAATCATTATGTACTACAAATAGGTAGTAATAAAAACTTTTTTTAAATGACAACTAAGAAAAAAAATGACAGCTAAGGCTGATTTGAATTGCATAGCTACTTATTGCAGCTTAATGTCAAACAAGCTTAAGTAATTTTAGCTGAGAAAAGACATAATTTAATACAAGGTCTCATCAAGTGGTAGGTGCAAAATCTTCACCTTAAGTTTCAAAAATGGGATCCAGATTTGGATTCCTGATTTTTTTTTTGTTTTCTCCTGTGTTTTAGGGAAGGGTCTACAGGGCATTCAGGGTCTCACTACTAGATCGAACTCATAGTGATTCTCCTGTTTCAAGAGTAGAGATTCTCCCGTTTACAGTCTCCCAAGTTCCGGGATTACAGGGGCGTGCCAACACGGGGGTGGGGGGGTAGGGGGGGATTGAACCCCTGGCCCCTGCGCCTGCTTGCAGATGCTTTAATCCACTAAGCTATTTGGCCAGCCCTTTGGATTTCTGATTAAGTCAATTAAGGACCTATGCTTTGTAATGTGTACACACATCTATAATTCAAATGAATTATATTTGAATATAATATTCTATTCTTTGATAATATTTAACTCTAGTTTTAACATTTAGGTTGAGGGGCCGAGGAGATAGCTCAGTAGAATAAGCACTTGCCTGGCAAGCACAAGGGCCTGAGTTCAATCCCCGATTCTGCCAAAACAACAACAACAACAAAAAAAAACATTTAGGTTGTATACACAATGCAGTTTCAGTCACCACACCATGGGAAACACTACTGAAAATATCAAAATTTTAGAAGAATATAAAAAATAGTTTGTTAACTGCTAACCACACAATTGTTAGCTTCTCAAATTTGCCCACCAACATAATTCCAACAGAGAAAAAATACTCTAACATGGCTTATTGTAAAATTCATTTGAATTATAGATTTCTGTGTACTCATTACAAAACATAGCAACATCATATTTGCAAAGCAGACCTCAGAAAATACTCTTGAAAGATTTTTTGAGAATATTATTGACAGTAGGCAAGTCTGAGATTAAAACCATGCACTCTTTGTAGGCTGGAAACTGAAAGTGAGGAATGAATGGTTCTCCAGACATTCAAGTGAACAGGATGCTGCAAAAAATCAGTCTTTGAGGGAATGCAGAAAGCTAACAGGCAGAGGTGGCCCCATCCCAAGTCCTGGGGTTGAACTCAGGGGCTCACACATTAG